AACTTGAAAGACAAAACTAATAAAAAATCTCAAAATTAAATAAAACAAATGAATGACACAAACATATCGCTACAATTCCTTTGCGTGCATCTTGTTTTAATTTTCAAATGGCTATAAAAATTACTTTCGCACAACGATTATAACGAATAATACTACATTGCGATTGGGCATTTTTTTAAATAAAAACAAAATTAAATTTGCCTGTGCAAAGCAATCCTACGCCCGACGTCTACGTTGCCAAATTGTAAGCATCAAACTAACTGAGTGACCACGTGATGACCACAAAGTGACAACCTCTGTGATCTGTGGTCGCGTCGTGTCAACGATAGTCAACGCAGATAAAAAATTGCTAACAATTCACAAATAAAAAAAAGAAAAACAACAAAACAAACGTGAGAGGTTTTGAAAATAAAGCCTTAGTTAAGGTAGCAGAAAAGATCAGTATTTTTCTGCTCTCTGTGATTTATCCACACAGTGTCAGTGTGTGTTTTCACTTAAACTTGGTGCTCCCTGGTTACTGAAATATCTGGCGTATACTAGTGTGTTAAAAAATTACAAAAGTGATGCTGCCAGTATCTTCATACAGTGAAACAAGCGCTCAAAATTATCCTTTAGAGGTATCCTTCCTGTGGTCTCATATTTCGTAACATTTGTTAATGGTTTTGAATTGATAATATAGCTGACATCAAAGAAAAGTGCTTTTATCCAACAGTATCAAGAACAGCATTCAACAGAAACAATGGTTATCGAAAACGAACCAGCTAAGTACACTTATCCAATACAGATCACAAATCCATTCGAAAGAGAGACTTGGGCAATCTCTACTGATCACTGCTATGCAAGACCCTGGAATTGGAGACCAGAATCTTCGTTTTTAAAACCAACGAAAACACTATTTGTGCCAAAGGACAATACCACAAGGCCATTATTTGGTATAACATCTGTAAAAAATGTAGATGATTGTATTGATGTAGAAGCTGTCCCAGAGCTGCCCACTCCAATTTATGATATGCAGAGGGCTACAAATCTAATGGATGAATGTGAAAAACACTCCATTTTATGTAGGAATAGCAGTGATGATTATATTTGGGAAGAAAAAATTGACAAGTAAGTTTCTCTACAGCTAAAAGATTATCAGTCTTTAAGTATTGCAATTTGTGATTAATTATAGTTACCTTTCCCAATATTCCGCTAACATTAACTTCTTTAAATGGAGTTCTTATTAGCCCAAGTAATTGGCCAAGTAAAAACAAATTACTTACTCACAGCAGCAACTTGCATTCTTAGAGCATGCCTTATTCTGAACACCCATAACTCCCTAAGTTTTTCAATTTCTAATTTATTTAAGTTTCTGAGCGTTCAATAAACTATTATGCTAAATTCACAGCTTTGCTTTGTTGCACGTGTGCACACAGTCAGTAGGTTCAGTAGGTACTCCTATTTAGACCATCATAATATTAAACGCACAACTAGTAAGAAACGGGTGAGCACATTAAAAAAAATTACCAGAATGACTTCTTTCGACATCACTGTCGAAAGCACTATAATCGCCTTTTTTATTGACCATACATTCTCATATTCTAAGCATTTGCCTGTAATTTTTTTCAGATCTATGCTCTATGTTTACAAAAATCTTATTTATCCATGTTTTCTGCTGTTGCCATCAATGGAAATTTCACTTTAATTCATTTCTCTAACAATCATTTAATTTCGACGATTTTATTTATCTTAAGCAAAGATAAGTTTATTAGATTAAGGCAGTCCTGGCATTGAATGGTTTCCACTACTTTACGGTTTACATTCATTATCGATTTTGAACTCTCTGTGAAAAACTAAACTTTCTTGATTAAATGCTAGTCAGAAAGGAAGGAACCAAGAGGTAAAAGCTTAAAAAACGAAAAGGATTGGTTGTTTTATAGCATTATTAAAAATGATACTCATACACCCAGGAAAAATATTTTATCTTTAAAGAATTTTTTCTATCATATCTCATACTGTTAAACGTGGTCCAATTATTGCACAGTTTTGAATTTTAAATTTAAATTATTTCAATTAAAGTAATGTTAAACCCAAATTCAATTAGCTAGACATAAAGTAGGTACATAAATTAATTCGCATTCAGTTTTATTTGCTCTCTAGTACGAAAGCTGCACTTACAACCCACGTTCAATCTGCAGGACCAATTATTTCTAAAACATTAAACTTTTAATGACGATAATCTACTTAAGTCTCTAAGCCGAAGTTGCACATATTCCGGATTGCTAATTCGGAAGTTGTGAAATGATTCAACACGAAAAGTTACTTGAAAGTTTTTATTTGAAAGATAATACTGCATAATATTCCAGTCACTTAATAAAGAAAATAACTAAAAAATCACTCTCACACTAGTATTTATGGTGTCTCAGATCGTGATTTAATGTGTGTAGCAGAAAGTAATAGTTTAAGAAATTTGTAATTCGTCTCTTAAACAGATCAAACTGGACCAATTCGCAAAATCGCCTCTTTACTGGTTTTGTCAGTGTTCTAAATAACTTTTACGTGGGCAAAATGACCTATTCTGGTATGAAAAACGAGCCAGTGCTTCGAAGAACCATAATAGACAAAGCGGTGCAAAGGGTGCGCCGTTTATTTAATACAGTGTCTTACGACACAAAGCTTCTGCAATGGATTCACCAACTATTACTCGACAATTTAGATCAGCAAAACTTATCGTCATACTTTGATATTTTGCAGGTAATAATTTATTTTATATCTGAAATGAAAAAAATTCCACACTTGCATTATCGATTTTAGACTTTGAAATCGAAAGTTCCCAAATTTGTGGAAAAGCTGTTGAACACCCCAATTTCTGGCAGTCGCACGGGGCCTTTAAGCAATGAGAACTTGCTGCAGTTAATGAAAAAACCATGGGATCCGATAGAAATCAGCTTAGCGCAGGATAAACCGAAAAGATTACCTTCAAGTCCAGTACTGGTTCTCATGCCTTGTTCTCCAAGTGTGTCAAAAAGAAATTTTAAGTGGATGGCATTGTTATCGAATTTGGGACAAGTTGTATCAGTACCAACTAATTTTGGTAATCTAGTGCAATAATAGTAGAATATTTGGCATTCGAATTATGGACCATTCAAACAGCAAATCGAAATTTATGTATAAAAACTAACCGAGTTTTTTTATTTACATAGGATCTGGCAGTCACAGATTGACTATGACTAACCTCATCGATCAAATGTTTTCCTTGGCAAGAGGAAAGGTTCAGGAAGTTAGGGAAAATTATGCAGGAAGACATATAATTTTGGTAAGCAACTTGGCCAGAACGAATTTATCAATTTAGTTCAACTTGCACAAATCCCCAATCAAAATCCGATTTCTAATTAGCAAATTAATGTACTAATTCAACTTCAGGTTGGAGTTGGTGCCGGCGCAACTTTGGCCATTCAAGTCGCTCAAGTTGAAAACGTTTTCTGTGTTATAAGTTTAGGTTTTTCAATGCTAACAGCTGAAGGACGACGAGGAGATCCTGATGATGGGTTGCTAGAATTACAGTGCCCTGCGCTGTTTGTCATTGGACAGTTTTCCAGTACTTCTTTGTAAGTTTTTTTTGGGTACATGGTTAATTAGAGCGTATCAGTTACAATTATTATTATTTCAGCCAAGAAGATATGGAAGGCCTTAGAGAGCGGATGCGTTTTGAAACAGGGCTAATAGTAGTTGGTTCAGCTGATAACAATCTGATCATTAATAAAAAGAAAAAACGAGAGGAAGGCATTACGCAGGGTATTGTTGATCGGTGTATAATTGTAAGGCTTTTTATAAGTAAAAACAGAACATACAAATTACGTATTTTGTAGGACGAAATCGGAGAATTTATCAGCAGCCTCATTTTATCGCCTTATCCGCCTCAAGTGAGACAGTCTTCCAATAATATACCATCTGACGCACAGAAGAAGGGAAAGTCAGAAAGAAAACGTTTCAATTCGAATACTAGCTCGGTCGAAAGTGAGCCTCCCTCTCCAACGCCACGCATTACGCGGCCAGGTAATTAACGCAGAAACCGCGGCAATCTTAGTGAGAACATTTGGATTTTCAGTTGGACGACCCGCAGGTAAAACCAAGTGTAAACTCGAAGCTAAATGGGCCGCGCAAGTAGCCCAAGGTACTACTCCTACCACTAACTCTAATAATACTTCATCTTTATCCTCTGGTGTTAATTCCTCTCCTCTCACCTCCACTGAGGCTGCTTCGGCCGTTGATCGTCCCGTTTCCCCATCACATAACTTTAATACTTCATCCCAAAAAATTGACGATCTTCAGACTGGCATAACTCGAAAGATGCGTGTTTTAAAACCAATTACATCTGGGGAAACGCAGGGCAAAACGAGCCAAAAGATAACTAGAGGAGAACACGGAGGATCAGAACAAGGTCAGACATGAGCGTAGGCTTTCTTAATGGTGTTGTCTCAAATAACTTCTAAAACAATTGTCTAACACGCATTGGCATGTCTACGTGCTTTACGGATGTTTTTTTTATAATTTCTATCTAACTCTTATTGCTGCTTACATAAAACCTTTGTAGTTTGAACCTAACAAATGTTTTCAAATATAGCTAGATTGCAAGCCTATAATTTAGGTAGAAATCTCATACCTGGCGGCCAATTATCTACTCTCCTCCAAGGCGGTATCAAGACAATTCCTCCTGCTGTGCAACCAAAACATGGAAGTACATCATCGACCATCAAAGGTAAAAATGTTTTTCTTGTATCTGGTTTTTAAAGCGTATAATGCGTAGATGCAATATTCATTGGGGAAGTCACAGGACGTAAAATACATTTGTTAATACAACTGAAAGTTATTATGAAAATCCTTATACACAAAAATAATTTGCATATGAATTTGAATGAGAATGAAAGTTTGTCAAAACTACCCTTTTCATAGAGCAGCTGAGAAATTCGCATCTTTCGTTTTCACAAATCTTGAAATAACTCAATTATTGTTATTGTATTTATACAATGTATAATACATTAACAAAAAGTGTTTGAACTGTGCTTGATTTTCATACTTGTCGAATAATGTATGTCCAAAATTCAGCGTGCGAAAGCAAGTGTTATGTTGGACTAAATGCTTAAAATCGCGGATCATCGCAAGAGTTAAAATCATTTGCAAGAGTTCTCCTGCATATTTAATTGATATAATTCTCCAAGTTTAAGGAAGGAGTTTATGTTCCATACTTTTTTTTAAATTTCGTAAAATACGCTATCTGTTAGAATTGAAATTTCACATTTAAAATAACCCAACTGACTGATATAAAATGTATTTTTGTTTGTTTAGTACTTGAAAATGTGCAGTTGTCAAGTCAGGCCTCCGCTAAACTAATTTCGAACTCAAACAGCCGTACAATTGATCTATCTAAAATTGGTTTAGGCCAACGAACGTCCGGTAGCATTATGATTCTCCCGGACGGCAAGTTGAAGACGGTAGCTACCAGTAGAGCTGTACCGATGAAGACTAGCACGGGTAGCCCAATTATTGTTTCAATGTCTGGGAAAGCACAGCCGAAAAGTAACGCAACTGAATCAATATTATTCTGCACTAAGTTAGCTCTCTGTTTATTAACGAGCGTTTAATTTTTAGCAACTCAATTTGTTACCACCAAAAAACATGATAGCCCAAAGCCAACTGTGAAGCGCCATACATTGGTCCCGTTTACACAGCCAATGAAGGCAAGTTTGCCACCCCCTACAAATCTAACGACTCAGGACATAATGGATTTGCCTATTATATTTGCTGATGATAATCAAGTTATAGATCCGAATGTACCAACTGATTTATCCACTACTAGTACTACCACACAGCCCAATCAGGTAAGATTGACTCGTATTTTTTAAAGATTTGCAAGATCGACACAGAAACATTGTCAATTTCAACATCAATAAGTCTAAATTTGTCTTTTTGTCAGGGTTTTCCTTGCCAAATAACAGTCTATAATATAATGTGTTTCCTCAAAAAGAAAATGCGGATTTTGACTATCCACAAATTTAAAAAAATCACTATGTATTTGTTTTTGAAAATTCCTGGATTTGCAGTTTTGTGTTAAACCCAAATTCGAAATCGATCGCTTTATTACAGATGAAATTTAATGTTTTATACCATTTTATCATTAATTTATTATTACGATAGCAACAATAGATGTGCAATTGTTTGAATACCTAGGAATTTCGAATAATTTGAAATAGTAACTGATATATTTTTTCTTCTTTAAGATCAATGACCATTTATTTCAAGCAACCAAGTTTATATCGCCAACTCCAACCAATAAATTTGTAATCGTTAATAAACCAGCATCGGGTCTGAACAATTTGATTGTATCACCTTCAACGTTAAAGAGGCCAAACCAAGTTCCACTTGCTAAACAACCAACAAAGTATACCAAAATAATTCTCTCGAAAAAATCGGTGGAACCCATAATTGGAAGAGTGCCAAACAGCAGTCCACAAAGCATTTTAAATACATGCGGTGAGGAGGCAATTGACTTGGAAAATGAATTAATGGCCACTGCTGTGCCTAAGCCTGGCTTGTCAATGGAGAAGAGACCCTTAAATATAATCACTAAAAAGGGAAATTTTGATCTTAATGAGCAAATATTTATGGATGATGATGATCCTGATTATGTGCCTCCAAAGAATTTAAAATTGTAGAAATTTATTTACCAGTTTCCAAATAAGCACCATTAAAGTCACGTGCAAAATGTAAAATATTCCAAAGGTTTAAAACCTCAAAATGCGTGCCAAAGGAGCACAATGTTTTGTTTTCATGTGGATTTTTCTTCTTGTGGATCTCATGTTTGTTTTTTAGAAAAAGTTATATAGTTACTACATGAATATAAGTTTAGTCAAAGAAATGTGTTTTACTTCGCCCGAGTAATAAACCGACAAGCGTGTAAAAACAATTAAGTGATATCAGGAGAGATCAATTAGAACAGTCACGCAATCTTCAATTGTAGAGTGAACTGTGAATTTATAATTAAAACTGCAATCATCAGATTTTTATAATTTAATTAATTTAAATGACGCTTTAGAATAAGAATTACATTGAAATAATTAGCAGGAAAGTAAAATTGCAAATGAAAGAACAACTAAAGGAATTAACGTCGGTTACTTATGAAGAATCGAAACGACTAAAATAAAGAAATACTTTGCAATTAAAAGTTTGCATGCGTATATTCGTCTTAGTGCTATCTGATTGGGTGCAAGCATGGGTATATTATACTGAGTAATTTCATACACACTTTAACTTGTTTTTTTTAAATGTATGAAAAATTCCGATCATCGAATGAAAACCACCTATTCCAGTAATATCGCTTTATATGGGTTTTTTGTACTATCATGAGCAATGGTCATCGGTTACACTACTTAGAACGGGAGTTCGCCAACCAAAAACAAAATAGCCACATACCAATCCCATCACAACAGATATGCATAGCCATGCATTATAGGTCATGAAAATCAGCATCAGAAAGTAACTGAAAGTGGCTTGAACTCCATGGAACATTGTCTGGATCAGATGAGATTTACTCAGTATCGTCAACCTGGAAAATAGTGAATTATTTGAAACTGTGTATTACTTAAGAGTTAGTTTCGAACTTACTCAGTAAATCTATCATCTCCGGAAGCTGCATTCTTCTGTCGAATGCTGATGGCTGTTGAGATCAAATGTGTTCTGCGGATTAGCAAATGTAATTAAGTTATTAGAACATTAATAGAATTTAAAACAAACCTGTAAAATTTAAGAGCTTCATAGCCGAAAGCCAAAGCATATATGGCAATCATTGAACCTATCAGTCCACCAATGGAGTTAAATTTCCATTGTGAAAACAGAACGGTACCACTTGTTGAGAAAAAAAACTAAAATTTCCAAATAAAATAAACAATTGCAAATTCTTCATAATTACATGAGTACATATATAATATACTTTAAATTATACAAAGGATTTTCAACACAAAGTTTTTTTTTATTTAGTTACCTACTATTTTTAACACACGAAATACAAGGGTTACGTGGAAAATATTTTTTTGGCTCAATTTATTTGCATAATTATACAGGACCAATTATATATTAATTATATAACATATAATTAATAACCACTTTTACTTAAAATTCACTTGTAAAAAATATAACAGATTTATTTAACACTTATTAAAGCACAACACAAGTAGCACTTGAGGCACGTTTACAAATCGGTTTTAAATTCTTTACGATCAACTTTAATCGCGCTAGTATTAGATTGAAATAAAGTATTCTATTAATGATAACAGGGTAAAACTCGGTTTTGTAGTTTTAAAAATGTTGCCTCAACAGATTTGTATTTTTAATGACGCAATAGAAAAATGTGCGCAATTGCAGTTTTATATAAATCAGCGCCCATTTATTCCGAATTATTAAGAAGTGCAATTATACCAAATAAAATAATAAATATAGTTATTTAATTCAAGAATCGACGTTTAAATTGTTGCACTTTGCTATGCGGCCCCGTGTATATCGTTAGGAGTAATATTATTATCATCTTCGAACAGTAATCAAAGCCATGAGTATATTTGCTGAAATCTTATGTGGATGTGTTTCCCAATAAATGATGGTTCATTCAAACTTTTCAGGTGGTTAAATAATAGACGAGACGTATTTAATACTACTTGATCTTGATTTGAAATTGAACAAATTTAATAAACATTATTATTGTTATTATTAGTTTCAGCTTTGGAGTCCATTTTGATACTACTACTACTACTTGATACACTTTTGAATTACTTACAGACATTTCCATGTTCGATCATTCAGTGAGTTTACCGTATCACTATCCAACCTATGATAACCCTAAATAAAAAATTTTAGAAGACACTAAGCGTACAATGGATAGTCAAACTCGCAGGCCAATTGCAAACAGAGCACGTAGCTTTGTTATAGATAATTAATTTTAAATTCCTTATCGCACTGTTATCAATCTTTTATAATGATAGCAAATACTTACCGTACTGGCATACCAGATGAAAAAACTCTGATTAAGGATATTATTTAATGTCTTGTTAAAAATTCTGTATAAGTCGACAGAAGCGTATAATCACAAAAACTGTAAGAACGGAAAAATAGCAATAGGGTGTGACTAAGAATTAAGCGCTTCCTAGTAAATTAAATTTTAAAACCATTAAAAATATCAAATTTAACACACACATGTCAATTATATTTTTGGGATGACTCAACGATTTTTTTTTGATTTTTTTTTAGTTAAATTTATAATACAATATAACTTGTTTTATAAAATTTAACTTAAACCTCTACCTTCATTGGATTGTATGTAAAAACATATTTGCGTTTCTTTGAAAGCAGTGTTGGAAAAAACGAATTGCAAAACAAAACAAAAATGTTCCTAAATCGTAATAATCTTTATTTCATTATATGATAAACATGTACAAAAAAGCTTAAACGAACCTACACGTTTACTAAATCATACCAAGAAATGAAATAAAAATCTTACATATAAATGCATGGAAACTACCAAAAAGAACTAGGCAACCATGTTGGTGTTTAGAAATACACAACATTTTACATCCTTGCAGATCAATGGTACGTTCGAGTAGTACCAATAATAATTGATATCAAATAGCATATAAATTTTAATTAAATGATCTGACTAAAAACTGCACATAACTAATAATCAGTATAATTTTTTTTTCGTTCTATTGCAACCGAGATTAATACGCATTCGCATACCCAAATCAACAAGGCCAACAAGTAAATTGAAAAATGCTTAGATAAAAAAAAATGCTACATCAAGATGTAGTTGAATTAGCTACTAAAGAACCAGTAAATTCGTTTACCTCAACTTTCAAAGTGTAAAAGCAACGATGAAACCGTAGTTTCAGATTTAAGTAAATATTTTGAGAATTTCAAGTCGCTTGCAAATTATTATTATTTTTATTATATTATTTATCAAATTATCTGAGAGCGCGCTTTCTACCAATGACGGATGCTATATGATACTAAATCATAAAAGGTATAAGCAAAGAAATCCACACACATACTCAAAGAACGTATTTTCTGTTAATAACACTGAAAAGAAAAGACCTGCAGGATATTTTTGCATGTTACTCTAGAATAAGTGGCTGGGTGGAACTACCTTTGTGTATTTTAGTATTCATGGGATTTATTGAATTTTTCTTTGGTCACGAAGTGATCACCTTCGGACACAAAACGCTTACGTCCTCTTGACGGAAATCTAGCAATGATGTTATCAGTCAAAAATCCCTCATTACGACAGAGGTCGATAAATCTAAAACAAAAAATTATGTCACCGATTGATCGCAATACTTAACACTCAAAAATAGTGGAGAATTTATTTCTGCAGAATGTCTACTTAAGTTGTAACCATATTTAGACTCGAAAAATCTAGAAACAAATTTCGAAAATTTTCTAAAACCTGACCCTTGGCATGAATTTAACTTAAATAATTTAAATATACTTTTGAATTCTGGGCAACTGTTGGAAAAGGTTTAAAAAAATTAATATACTATGGAAGCATTTTAAGTTTTAGATCATGCAAATCTTTTTATGAAGAATAACTATTTTTCTGAAAACGGATAATAAAAAGTTGTCTATTATAAGTAATAACGACCAGTTTATCCGAAAAACCGCCGCTAGGCTTTAAAGTGTTTTACTAAAATACAAAGAGCTTCTCAAACTATTAATATACATATTTTCAAAAATTTATGTAAAATATATTATATGATTCTTTTAGCACAATTAGAAATAGTATACCTGCTTTTCTTTTTTATATTATTTTTACCGGCCTGAGTGTTGTTTAAAGACCAAAAATCCTATTATCCAAATTATTCGAAATCAAGTATCGAATTGGATTTACTTTGATTATCAGTGAATAAACAGGCTTACCTGTCCAAAATAACGTAGGCCAGAGGAACATCCATGCAAATATCGGCTAAATCATCAAACACGCGGAAAAATCCTCTCTCCAACTGATCGCGAGTAATTAAAACACGAGCATCAAAAGCTTTTAGAAGGCTACAAATGGCTTTTTCGCTGGTTTCACCATTTGCTTCTAAAGCCATAACGATGGCTTCGTATACCAATTCATGGTGGAAATGGGGAACCTATAAAACCAAACATTATTGTTTATTATCAATTATGTGAACAAAATATGGAATGAAAAAGTAGCCAAAAAATAAAATGTCGTCAGTTCCATTTCCTTCATTTTAACTGATGATTAACATATTTTCTCAACTTTAGAAACAAAATAACCACCTTAACTATACATTCTATAGATGCCAAAGAAAATTTAGCGCTGTTTCTACATACATATAATACACCTTACAAATTAATTTGGAGAGACCGTTTCCAGCGCGTTTTTTACCAAGAAATTTGCAATTAAACAGCGTACACGCAGTCCATTACAAAATAAATTTTGGCATAATAATAAAATCCCGAGTAACTTACTTCCAAATCCTTTAAACATCGCGAAGCCTCTTCAACGTCACCGGAGGACACAAATTCTTGAAGAAGCAGCGACATTTGCCGAGTCAACGCTTGAACAGGGCGAAGAGGACCCCCAACGCCCCACACATTATCTAAACGTACTAGGCCGTGTTCCATAGAGAGAAGCGTACCGGCATGAACTAGAGTTTCCCGGAAGATACGATCATCGCTTTTTTCTTTCACATCAATGATGAAGCGTGGTGGGATGCAATCATCCGCAATGGCACGTGCTATAAAATTGCCTAAAACATAAACTTAATTAGCGTCCCTTGACCATTAATAAAAAAACACTTGATTTGAAGATGCCCATGATACCTACCAAGGACGGTAGGGGCATCAGGAATATCCAGTATCAAGTCATTCATGTTAGCAAGGAGATTTTCAAATGCCTTGACAATGTCTGATTCAGACAAAACATATCCATACAGATCAGAAATCAGCACGGATGTTAGCTCTCTATGCGAAGGCTTATGATCCATTGCTATCTCAATAGCTTGTTGTGCGAAAACACTTCTGCGGTTTACAGGTATAATTTCCAGTACTGATTGTATAACTTCTTGGATATCATTACTTTCAAAGAACTCGAGAATTATGGGTTCACTCTAAGAACAATACAAAATTAGACAACTTCAATACAAACTAGACTTCATTCAATTCGTATTTTCGTATTCAAATGTCCCCAGCAAAAGAGCCGAAACAATATTTATCTGATATTGAACAAGTTATCTTGGGGATTCGCTCTGGAATGTGGTAAGAACATAGAACTTTTTTTAGCTACCAAACTTTCGGCTATTAATTTTTTGCCCTCATCAGCGATTGAAAAATTACAAATTGAGATATGGAGCTATGGGACCGTGTGAAGCAATAAACCTACAGACAGATGAAAACATATTCATTGCATATTGTTCAATTTCGAAGGTCTGAGAACCCTCTAGAATTTCCATTTTTTCTGGGTTCTGACATTCGAAATTGAACAAAATGCAGAAAGTACGTTTCCGTCTGTTGTACTTGTACCAACCTTTTTCCTCAAGTCCGCATTTGAAACTTCCGGCACTACTGCCTTCAGTTCAATATCAGTACCATCCAATTCAGAGTCGAAGTTGGGATCATTCACGTCTTCGATATCTTCTAGCAACTCAGAACCGGGTTTTCCCCAGACTCCTTTGCCTCCGGCACCGCCTTTCTTGGGCAAACCCCGTCCATAACCATTGCGCGATCGACGACTGTTTTTCCAAGACCTGAATTATTTATTGAAAATAATGAACACATTTGGAAGAACTTGCAGTAAACTAACCTGGGCTTGTGAATGAAAGACAACGTATTAGCATTGTTTTCTTTGCTATTCTGACGATGAACTTTTTTGGATTTACGCCGGGTTGCGACCTCCACTGGTGCAGAAGCATTTTCTTTAGCTGCGGCCATTTCCCTTTCCACAACCTTCTCGATGTCTTCTTCTATTGCCACGGTGTCAATGGCAATGTCTCCGCGATCTTTAGCCATTCTGGCTGCCTTCGACCTTAGTTATCCTCAATAAGGTATTACAGCCAAATGCAAAAGTGAACCAGAAAGGCAAGAGAAAATCCGTTTAGGATAATGTTTCGGCGAAAATATCCAAGTTTCGTACGTAGGCTTAAGAACAGTGGCAAAACGATATAATCTGCAATATAAAAACACTATTTGATTATTATCGTTCATATCATATCAGTCTCTTCTAGATTAGGATGTGGATTGAAAGTACATACTTAATTGTTCTTGCATGTTTACACGGGAATTTATAACAAGCTAATATATTACCGCATAAACTAATTTACTTGAAATATTTACAAGGTTTAGCAAAAATGTGCACGTTTCCTGCTGGGACATGTACATTTCACTGCTTGCATTAAATTTAATTTAAGTTTCCACTGCAAAAGCAGTAAAAAGCATGTAAGCGATATAGTTGCACCTGAAAAGCATTAAACTTAGACATTTATGCAAAATAACCAAAATAATCAACCTGGAAATAATAATGAATGCAAAATTTGTCAATGTTAAGCAATTGTAAACACCGTCACTAATTATTGCGCAGTGCGAAATAAACGATAGCGTTGGAAATATTTACAAATATTCACGTTAGCTTTATTAATAAGCCTTAAGGTTAATTTAAAATCCTATTAATTAGAATTAATTAAAGGCGCGTTGGATAAAAATGCATTATGTATGTGTTATTAGGCAAAACATATTCGTTGTGTAATGGATACAGGGAAGATCTGTATGAAAAGCATTAGCACGTTTTTCGGAAAATTAGTCTGTTCGCGCTGTTATTTAATTTTATCTCATGGAGTTGAGGATGCTCACAGGGGTCTCAATTGTGCATTGATTGTCGAGTATGTTGTTTTCTATATTCTTTGTATCACCCATTCGTACACTAAGCGTTTTATTCTCTGTAATTTAGAGGCCCTGATGATGACTGAACAAGTCGAAAGGGCGAGGCTAAATGTACCTTTGAAGGCTTGAAAAAGTCCGTTAATTGCACACTTCAATACAAAAAAGACCGATTCTTTGATTTAATGGGAAGCTTAAAGCTTAGGTTGAGCTGGGAAGTAGGCTTTGCGAAGGACCGGAGCTCCGCGGAGCACACTTTGAGTAACGCTGCTCTAAAGCAGGGGTGAGCAACTTTTTTACATCAACGGGTCAATTTAAATTTAAAAAATTTTTGGCGAGCCGCACATAAAGTAACACTATCTTCCAAACTTTATTTATACACACAGGCATTAGAATAAAAAAATTTAAAATGAAAAAAAAATTGATTTTATATACAGATTTCAATGTACAAAATAAAACCAAACAAGAAAAAAAGAAATTTTTACTGCGCAATTTGACACTGTTTTCAAACATGTTGATCAATATCAGCCGGAATTGATGCGGGAGCTACACATACGCACCTTTCTAATCGTGTATCACTCAGTCTTGATCGGTGATCATTTTTGATTTATTTCATGGTTGTAAATAATTGATCGGAAACATATTTAAGTACTTCCGAACAGAGACACCATTTGCTTTGCATTTTCGGTCAAAAGCGGAAATTTCTCAAGGCTCACATAAGATTTATAAAAAATTTCGATATTTACTGAGCAGAATATATTTTATAAATCCGTATTCTGCATGTCAATCACTTCCATTTGAAAGTCTTATACTGTATCTCGTCGCAAAAAATCGTACAGACGCGGCGCGTTGGTTTTGCATGTTTGAACAACTCGTCACAAAAAATTGATTTGGTTTAGTATGTACAACCATTTTATTATAATTAATTTTAAATCAATATATTGATGGGAGGAAGTCGATAAAATAAGTTCAATCTTAGAAATGCTGGCGGGCCGCAAATACATGTTTAACGGGCCGCTTGTCGTTAACCCCTGCTCTAGAGAGTCTAGACAATCACCCGCTAAAGTTTGGCTACATACTTAAATAACACCCTGTATGTACCTGCCATTTTTTCTTTTATAATTTCTTTTTTCAGAAGCAATTGAACATCTGATACTAACTCGAAAACTGACTCAATTTTTAAATAAAAATAGCTAAATATTTGAAAGCCTTTACTTTCGCAGAATAGATTCTTCGTGAATTAGTGATAACGCTTCAGAATACGCAAAGGGTAAACAAGATGTTATATACCTAATGGGTTTATTTAAATGTGTGAAACGCTGCCTATAAAAATCAAATTAAGTATAATAAAAAAATACCATATCTATTCAAAATACATACTTCAACCTAAGTATAAGTTACACTCGAAAAATGTAGAATATTCGCGTGGCCCCATTGATTTAATGAGAAAGCTACACCTACGCTACTGATAAAAAGTTTGATTAACTAGTTAGTTTTGTTATTGTAACATGTTAATTTATAATTTCTCTGCAAATTAATACAAAATCTGAAAAGAAAATGCAGTCAGTTAATTCATAGTAGTTTTTAGATGATGATGTCTCATATCACTCTCGTGTAATAAAGATCGTCGTTTTTCTATTAAAGTTGGCTTACGAGATACTGAACCTGTTATGTATGCATGTATAAAATGCAAAAACGATACTATTTTTTATATACTACAGTAAAGTCTGCTTATAGTGAACTTTCGGTTAAAACGAACTTTTTTCCTTTAATTGAAACGTCGTCCATAAAGACCAACGTATTTTTTTACTGGTTATAACGATCCCGTTTATAACAAACTTCCGGATATAACGATCACTTTTTAGATTATTTGTATATTCACTTTCCGTTTATAACGAACTTCCACGCCCAGCAACACGAATCGTGCGGAGTTGTTTATATTAGTGAGAGCGAAAAACAGGTAGTGACTTGTTGTTTTTTGCCGCGTTATGTTTGTAAATCGTTTTAGAATTCAAAAACAAAAATGCAAAGCTTTTTCACTAAATGAAAAGTACGAGATTATTAACAAAATATGGAGTAAAGCAGAGTGACATGTGTAAGGAATTAGCACTTGGAAAGTCTACTGTTGCAACAATATTGAAAAACAGAGAAAA